AAAAAAAAAAAAAAAAAAAAAAAAGAAGGGAAAAGAAGAAAACGAGGACTCGCTGATACAGAAATTTCAAGTGAAAAATGGATCCCGCGCAAAAATTCGGCCCGGCTGCTGCTCCCCCCCCCTCTTCCGTCTCCCCACCTCCACTGCTCCCCGCTCTCCCTGCTCCTCAGCCCACACCCTGTCGCTATCATTAACGTCCCAGCAACACATCAGTCAGCCACAATCCCATGGCCACTTCCTAAGAACCGATTTACAGTGTCTTCTCCAATGAATCCCTCCCTCTCTCTCTCTCTCTCTCTCTCTCTCTCTCTCTCTCTCTCTCTCTCTCTGTTCGTGTGTGTTGTTATATTGTGTGTGAGTGTATGTGTGTGTGTGTGTTCACAGCCTTCCTTCTCTGCCTAGCTACCGGTCGTTCAAACCTTTCGAGCGGGGCGGGGTCTCGCGAGCCAACGACCGCCCATCTAGCCCTCTCACGTCTCCTCGGCTTTTATCCCATACTCTCTTCCACACTTCTGCCACCCACGTTTTCTACACACCCTCCCTCGAACAGAGAACACGACAAATGATTCCTATCTGGCTCCACAGGAAACGACAAACGAGTCCTATCTATCTCGCTTTTTCTTGCAAGCGCGAGCCTACGGTTGCTGATTGGCCCCCCCTCATTCCCGCCCCCGCTAGCTTTCTCCACTCTTCTTGTCCTAGCTTGGCGTCTGATCTACAACGTCCCCCTCCACATCCTCCTCCTCCTCCTCCTCCTCCTCCTCCTCCTCCTCCTCCTAGTGTACTTCCTGCTGCTGCTCCTATCATCGGGGTTCGCTTCTTCAAAGCATTCTCTTCCGCCGGTCTCGATCTACCAGCCAAAGGAGAATCCCTCCTCTTCTCCCCCGACCCCGGCTTCTTACCCTTAATAAACTCTCCCACGTCATCTCGGCACCTCTTCTTATCTTTCTGCTTCTTCTTCCTCTTTTCTGCTTTCTCTCTCACCGAGTCATCCACCTCCTCCCCTCCCCCAACACTCCGCCATTTGTCCTCCATGCGATTTGCTTGATCGCCCTTTTCCTCGTGTTCAATCGTCCGACAGAGAGCCACAACATTCGGATGCACACGGCTCTCTACTGCCATTACCTCTCCCTCCTCTCCTGCCTCCTCCTCCTTGTCTTTCCTCTTCTTCTTCTTCTTCTTCTTCTTCAACTGTTTTTTCTCCTTTCTCTCTTCTCGCTTCTCCTCCTCCTCCTCCTCCTCCTCGTCCGGTCGTTTCTTCTTCTTCTTCTTCTTCTTCTTCTTCTTCTTCGTCTCCTTTGTTCGTTTCTTCTTCTCTTCGGTCTTCTCCACTCCCTTATCCTCCTCCATTTCCTCCCTATCATCTTCCTCCTCCTCTATCGTCCCATGCCGCTGCTTCTTTCCCGTATCGCCCCGTTTTACTTCCAATCGCTTGTGCTTATGCTCGTCAATCTCCTCCTTGCCAATCTCCATCTCGCACTCGCCCTCCGTTTTCCTCTCCTCTTTACTCTTCTTCTTCCTCTTCCTCTTCTTCTTCTTCGTTTGTGTCCCAGTCCCCTTCCGCTCGTCACCGACAATACCCTCTTCCGCCGCCGCGTCTTCCGCCCCCTTTCCATTTGTGCCCACCACCGCCGCGTCCTCTCCCTCTCTCTCACAACGCCGCTGTGCATCATTACTACTCGCCATATCCGTTGACGTCACCAGTAAATCGCGAGCTCCGTTACCCGCAACCTCCATCTGCTCACGAAGCGGCGCTTCTTCCATCCGATTCCACTCGCCATATCCGTTGACATCACCAGTAAATCGAGAGCTGGTAGAAGCATTGACAGGTCGACGCTTCTTTCCACTTCCGCCGTTGGGCGGAGACCTATCCTCGCCCCCCCCCTCCACTTCCATACCCACCACCACCTTCTCCTCTTCTCTTCTCCTTTTCATGGCCGACGCAATCTCTCCATCCTCCCTCCTCCTTTTCTTCTTACTACACTCTTTCGACACCGAGGACTTTTTTTTCCCTTCCGTCGTCAAATTCTCATTACCGGGGAGAGGACTGATGGGTCCATTAGCGCAGGAGATGGCAGCAATTGCTTTTCCTCGTCCTTGATGACCGCCGTTCTCCTGATGTCTCTTCATGCCGTCGTGCTCTCCTTCGCCGCCTCCATCAACATCGGCATCACCATTGCCCTCTGCTCCCTCTTTATATCCCCTTCCTTTCCCAGCCTCTTCGACATCTTCCCCATCATCATCATCATCATCATCATCATCATCCTCATCGTCATCCTCTTCACTCGATACAACTACCATACGCCGCCGAGCCGATGCTAACATCCGCTTTCTCCTCCCTTCCTCCACTGTTTCTCGATCACCGCGCAACCCCTCCTCACCCCCTCTCGAGTCGTTCGCTCCATCCTCTCTCCACTGGGCGATTTTCCACCTTAACGTACCCCCTTCCTGTTGCTCATGGCGCCCATCCGCTGACCTTTCCCCCTTGGGATCCCGATGCTCTTCTTCTTCTTCTTCTTCTTCTTCTTCTTCTTCTTCTTCTTCTTCTTCGTCTTCTTCTTCTTCATCGGTATCTCCGTCGTCCGTAATAACCATTCGCCGTCTACACTTACGCACCGACCTTCCGTTCTCCTTCACAGAACCGCCTCCACCATCCTCACGCTGCTCTCTCAGGCGGATGTCCACATGAGCGGCAGCAGCATTTACAACACCCCCAACCTGTACGTTGTCGGGGTCGGGATCATCCCGTAACAACTCCATAATTAATCGAGTACGTCTCCGCCGGGATCCGCTGGGTCCTCTTCTTCTGCCCGAAGACGGGCGGCAATTGGAAGCGGGTTGCGACATGAACATCTCCTCTTCTTCCTCCTCCTCGTCAGACTCGCTCCCTCCCTTCTCCCAACGACCCAGACTCCCGTTCTCACCACCTCCAAGGACTTCATCATCATCCTCCGAATCCTCCTCATGAAACCCATAACTCTCTTCAGCTTCATCATCGAAGAGAACACTTTTGACCGACGGACGTGCTCGCCGTCTTTGCCGCCTCAGCATCCATCCCTTCTCCGAGTAAGACAGCCCATCGACATCGCCATAATCATCTTCGCTCCAACCACACTCCTCTTCACAATCCTCCTCCTCCTCCTCCTCTTCCTCCTCATCGTCATCATCATTAACATGTAAATCCTCATCCTCATCATCGCTTCCTATCCACTCTCCTTCCTCTTCCTCTTCCGCCTCATCACCTTCTTCCTCATCATCGGCCACAACAAACCCCTCCAAATCATCGTCCTCCGACTCTTCCCCCACGCCAACACAACGACGACGAACGTCCACCTCCTCTTCACTACTCTCTTCTTCCTCCGTCTCCGACCCTTCCTCTGCTTCGTCAAAAATGAACATACGTGAGGCGGCATCAACCTCATCTACATCATCATCATCATCATCATCATCATCATCATCACTACCCCCAGACTCGTCATCATCATCATCATAATCGAAGTCTTCCACATCCCCTCTGGTCGCAGCGAACATGTGGATTCCCAACACACCGCCCAACACTTGTCTCTCAGGGTGATGGCGGGTACTGACTGTCGTTGCTACCTCTTGTCCTGTTGCTTGAGGATTGCCCTCAGTCGTCTCCTTTCCCCGAGCCTCTTCCTCAACCTCTTCCTCCTCCTCTTCCTCACTACTCTCCTCCTCTCCCTCTTTCACCATAAAATCTCTCACATCTTGAATATACCCCGACAGACAAACAGAGCAGCTCCCGTTGTGCCAAAACTGTACAGACTGCATTCTGCCGAACACTAATCCTGCGAATCCAACCTGTTCAGAACAGTCCTTGCGCAGAGTGCCCAAGACAAGAGCTGGGCGGTCTTCAAGTCGACAGCTAAGAACAACACCCTCCCCATCTCCCACCTCCCCTCCCAACGCCGCCTGCGAGAGGACAAACACGGAGCAATCTGGAACCCGGTACTCTACTTTCTCATCAACCTTAACTTCAAGACCCCAATAAGAACTGGCCATGATTTTCAAGTTCTCGACTACACTCCAGCTGCTTTAACAAAGCGATCGATATAAAAACCACACACCAACACAACTTAAGCTCTCCTCTGATCATCACACGAGTATTTCGCTTGCAAATTCTACCAACAAATACGGCGACAATCACCAGAAATTGCGCTCGGAGAAGGAAAATATGTCATAGCTGTCAGCCGTCAAATGAGGAGAAAATGTACATGAAATGTACATTTTTTATGGGCCCATTCGTCGAAGTAGATTGTCGAAGGAAGGAAGGAAGGCAGGCAGGAGAAAGGAACGGCATGATATACGATCACGTATTGCCTAGCCCGCCACCTCGCAGCACGTTTCTGGCAGAGAGAGAGGTTTCTCGGAGGAGGAAAACATCACTTCTTTACTAAGAGAAGGAAGAGACAAATACGGACGAATGTTTCTGGGGAAAAACAGAGTGCGGCACGCGGTAGAACAAGACCGGGGGAATGACAAGGAAATTCAAGGACTGGCAAACACAAACCGCCCACAAAAAAAACGGTAGTCGAAAACGAGTCAAAAAACTTGCATTGGTTGGCTATGTCATGCAGAGAGAACCTCTCTCTCTCTCTCTCTCTCTCTCTCTCTCTCTCTCTCTCTCTCACACACACACACACACAC